TGCGGTTGTGGGTGAGAAATCCATTGAGGCAATTCATTGTGAGGGCTGCTAATGAGATGCAACAGATGCCTGCAGACGAACGATTTCATTGCGGCGGCGGCAGGGCGACACACGGGCGACGCGCTTTCGCTGTCACAAATGTATTAACAACCACCAATTTAATTCTTTCTTCTTAGAATTACCACACCCCAACTCTGCTGCTGCTGCTTCTAGGAAAATTGCAGCGCAGCACTTCATCTATCTCCTCCTGTGACACCAGCCTTTTGGACAAAAGGCACAGGGCAAAAGGGGGAATTAATAGAGGTGTGTGTGAGAGAGAGAGAGAGAGAGAGAGAGAAGATGAGCGACTGAAATGGAAATGTGATCCATCTTTACAAGGCCCTAACCACAGCAGGGGTGGGTTTATTAGGTGACCCAGACGAGGCGACCGGTAGGGGGTCTGACCCTTTTCAACCCTCTCTAACGTTCCTACAACACATTGCTGTGGCTGTGCTTCAAGAGAAAGCGAGGTTTCCTAATGTGTGCATTTGGTTAAAGGAGGGGAAAAGGGAGGACAGAAGGAAAAAGTGGAGGAGGAGGAGAACGAGGCGGCTCCTGACCTTTTCGGTGCAAGCCATTTTTCAGACGTACTTCTACTCCCGGGGATTTTTAATAGCAAGCCTGACAAAAAATGCGCAACCCCGGTTGGATGTATTGGTGTCTTCACCCCTCTTAAAGCTTCGGCCCTCAACCTTTCTCTTCACCTTCGCCAAACCAGACCATCGCATATTCAACACGTCTGCTGGCCCCCCATAAATATATGGTAAAATATGGAAGCCTGCAGGGACTCAAAGGGCACATCTACAATCAGAAACAGCAGCTGGGGGGTTGGGTGGACAGTTGAGGGGGGGAGGATTTTGAAGCTAAACATACATGGCAACCTCTATAAGAGAGAAGAGGGGGGTTAGGAGGATGCTGCAAGACGTGGCAACCCTCAGACAGAGCAATCTTCACGTTTTCTGGTTACATCCGACTCCGCGCACGCCTCAGCAACTCCGGGAGATTGCACAAGACAGATACACTTCTGTCTTCACCTTTTCCATTTGGTTTCTCATTTCACAAAGCCGAAGATTATTCCGTGTTTCCCGGAGGTAAGTACGGCACGGAGGGTATTCGGCGGAGAAAGGGGCGAACTCCAGGGGGCAGAGAGCAGGAATCAAAACCGGCAGCAGATTTGGTGAGAATGTGCACAAAATGGTGTTTCGGTTTCTATTTCAGGGGAGTAGTTTGGCTTGAAAAGAGTTAAACGAGAAGATTGATACCACTGATTGATCCCACAATGGCTTCACATTATGACTGAAAACAGATCCAAGGAGATACTTGAACTTCCTCATCGAACGGATTATATTATGTTTGTTTGATTTGCACAAAAACTGAACTGTAAAACCATTGTGGGTTTTTTCTGTTTGGACTGTTTCTTCCCCTGAACACTTTACTTCCTGCCATCTCATAACACAACCTTTCATACAGTTTTTTTCGATTTGGTTAAACAAATGTGATGACCCCTGCACCGTCTCCTGTGTGCTTTGTGTTTTAGGTGCCTGCTGGGTGTGGCAGTGTTTCCAGTTTATAAAGCTTTGGCAGCTCTTTCTCGAACTTTCTGAGCCATTGTGCTGTTTTGATTTTCTTCTTCTTCGTTCTTTTTCCCCTGCACATCCTACTCTACTGATTTTACCGGCCCTTCAGGATCTATGAGCTCTGTTTAAGTACTCTCAGTTTGGTCAAAGATCCCCTCCAGTGAAAATCAAGTCTTGTTTTGTTAATATGCCCATATGGTGTTTTTAATATGCTGCGTGACATATCATTAGTGAAATAAGCAGCCAACACCTCAGCTGTGGATTTCAACCTTGGAACTACAGTGAACTGGTGACGTTATCTAAAGCAGAGTTTATATGTAACATACCTAAAAAAAAAAAAACCTACCTACATGCAAGGTGGAGCTTTCTGTATCACTATTCTTTTTCAATATCACACCTTGTCATTGTGTAGTGCAGAGTAATTTTACAGTGTTTGAGTTGTGGGTGGGTGCAGACAGTGGCGCTGACTTCATAGATCCACACATTCTAAAGGAAGCAACGGTATAAAGTTACATCTAAGCCACTGTAACCCTTCATCCTATTCCATTAACCCCATTTCGACTCCTGCTCCTCTATGGAAACAGCACAAGTATAGCTAGAAGAAGAGAGAATTCAACCAAGTCGTCTGTGTATTGTGAAAGAGTGATAGTGCTATAAATAACAAATAGATATATTACTTTTATTAGTAATTTTACAAAAATGTAATCAACAACATTTCCAAGTGCCCGCAGGCGTTGCAAACACTACAAAAAGATAAATGTGACTCGACGTACTCTGCATGTGTGAACACTGCCTGCAGATCAACCTACTTTAGCTAGAAATTCCCTGATTAGTCACATGACTGTCGGTTGAAGCCGACTCATGTCTTCACGGATGCACCGACAAACGCAGAATCTTTTAGCTTTTTGTAGAATCTGGTTAGAGCAAACACTATTTGGGGCGAATTTGTTAAGCAATACAACGATTTTGATTAAATTTCACTTAAATTTGATTCATTTTCCCAACTGAACAGGACGTCACAGATGAGTAGTTCACGAACTGTTGGAAATTTGAAAATCTGACGATAGCTTCTGCTTTGACAGTTTCTTGTTCTGACTAATGCCGTTATTCTGGCAAGTTTTTAAAGACAACATGCCTTTTTAAACTCACAAACAGGTTTTGGGGTTCAGAAGGTTAATGGACGTATTTATCCGACTGCGTTTCCCTCCTTTGTCGTGGCCTTGCGAGCCAGACACAAGCAAGATATAAGTCGTTAGGTATTAAAAAGGGCTGGCTCGTCAGACTACCCTAGCTGTTTCCCCCTGTTTCCAGTCTTTGTGCTAAGCTAAGCTAACAGGGTGCTGGCATCATATTTAGGATATGGAGTGTGGTATCAATCTTCTCGTCTAGAGCTGGAAAAGAAAGCAAAGTAAGCACATTCCTCAAAGTGTCACACTATTCCTTTAAGCACTGCAGCTACGAGTCAGTAAGCTGTTTGACCTACTACTTACCACTAGCCGTGTACCGAGACACAATTATTCACGGTAGACGTCTCTTTACAAGCACAACTGAAGCCAAAAAAACTGCATAATCACACTAAACCTCCTCCTCCTCCGTCGACCCACTGCTTGCTACATTCAACAGCTTCGTGAACTGGAGGGCCAGATCATGTATAATAAATATATAACACGGCAGAATATTTATTTACAAAGCGACGGTGGCAGCCATAGCCCTTCTCAAATCAGTTAATGGGGGCGGCTCAGTGTGTCCCGAGGGAGAGCTGGAAACCAAATGAACCGACTGAATGTGCATCAGAGCAGTAAACAGAATGCCTGCTGGTGGCGGAAAATCTGCTGTCAGTCACACACACATGTACGCGATAACTCATCCACACACACACATTTGGATGCAGGAAAATGGACCCACAAGAGTCACCCGAATGGAGACGAACCAATTAGCAAGCGACAGACACGAGTGTGACAGAGAGAGACGGAAGGGAGGAAGAAGGAGATGCGAGAGAATACATTAAAAGAACTCGGCGTGAGGAAAAAAATGCAACCGAGGCACCTTCACACTCCCGACACTTTCAAGGAAGCCGAGGTGGCCGGTGGCAAATCCCTTCAGACACGGTGGGCGGATAATGTGGCGGGATGCGTGGAGAGAGCGGGACAGACACTCGCCGATATTATTCACAGACTGACGCAGAGGAAGACTTTCAGAAAGTGGAAAATAGAGGCGATAGGTCAGGAAATACACGAGTTGCTCTGAGGGGCAATTACAAACAACGTCTTCTGTTTGTCATTTCTTGGCTTATTTACGCAATTTATTCAGGTTTTTCCTTGCATTTGTGTAAATAGTTCTCCTCCAGGGTGCCTCGGTAAAATTACGAGTCATTACATTGCAGCATTTGTAAATTAGCCCTCAATGTTCCCAACCGCTGGCTCATATTAGGCCATTAGCAGAGGCCTGGACACTTCTCTGCACAACACTCCACTGCTCTGACCCCACCAGGGTGATATTTTTTTCCTCCCTTTCCTGTTTGATATCGCCCCCGGGTGAAGCACGTAATGCAACATATGACATCATATTATGGCGATAATGACTCGTCTTTATGACTTGCTTACTTAGGAGCTTCCTGAGCGTCCACAGGCCACATATCATTTATTGTGATTGAGGCCGTGAGGGCGGCCCGGATGTTACTCGGTGTAGATCGCCAAGATTTCTCAAAGGAGGAAGTCGGTTAAAGGACGCGCTGAGTGAAGTGAGCAATCTCTGGTCTTGGGGGCATGTCGACTTCCCTGTCAAAAAAAAAAACGAAACGCTGAAAAAAATAAAATTCAAGAGAGCATGTGATTTCTTCTTATGAAGATTAAGAGATAGAGATAGAAAAAGGCAACCAGTCAACCATCAGCTGACACAGCAAGGAGCATAAAATCGCCTCTTGAGGAGGAATTAACAGCGTGAACAGGGCCAGAGAAGAGATTGCAGATTTTGCCCTAAGCTGCTTGAGTACAAAAATGACATTTGCAATCCTCTCACTTCGCACAACAAATTTGTTGCGCAAGGCTTCCTAGAAATCTGAGGTGAAAGACTTGGCTCAGGCAGAGGGACGATTTGGTAAGTCCAGAATACATGCAGGGGGAAGGAACACAAGATGACATGAGGCGTTAAGGGTGGCCCGGCGTGAATCACATGGTGGTCATGTGATGATCTTTTCAGGCAGAATCATGATCTGAATCACAATTCCTCCCACAGATTTAGCAGTTATGGTTTCCTGAATGCGAAGCTCATCGCTTGAACTCACAAATATCTGCATTCTGTTTCCACCCTGATGTTACTGTGAAGGTTCTGATCTTGACAGTTGAGTTGCTGCTAATCAAGCAGCTCTGACTAGTGTGTCCCTACCTGCAGGATGGTCAGGTGGCTGCTATGAGTTCATCTGCCTCTTCAGTGAGTCTTAAAGTCACTCAAACTCCACTGTCTTGGCGATGTTCTGGAGCTGGAGGGCCACACCAAGCAGAACCTGCAGCCACAGAGGATGCAGAACAGAACAGGAAGCCATTAAATCAACCTGTGATAACTGGCTACTGGCTACCCACTGGAGCTGAATGACATCGAGGATCGCCACAACACCAACTTGACTGGTTACAGACACACAGGATGGGATGATCAGGAGTTAGCTGGTTGGCAGAAACTTTACTTAAAGCACTCTTTATGATACAATCTGTATAATTCCTCTGAAAAGCAGATGCCAAATTAAGTTTATGCGGCAGTGTGTGCTGGTCCAAGGAGAGTTGCCAATTGCGTTCAACAGAGAAGTCTAAAAATATCCTTAACAAAAGTGTGCACACTCACATATGCAGCGTACCGGGCAGGACAGCGAGGGAACAGAGGATAGAGAAAGGAATTCCCGAGAGGAATCAGTGGAATGTAAACAGGCCACACACACACTTTCAAAGTGCTTCATCAGAGGCCGTGAGACAAGGGCCTCATCTGGAAAAAGATGCCCAAGAGAACAGTGCAGTTTGTTGGGATTGTTCTCTTGGTTTACCCCTTCTGTCCACACGCTGTCCTCCAAAAAGCCCCACGAGAGGCGGCAGGAATGCAGCTGCATGCTGGGAAATATGTCAACTTTCAACCTTTTTTTTTTTGTACTAAACATCCTGTGTGCAAAATCTTGTAGAATTATGGCTAAAATGATGCAGCTGCATCAGCCGCATATGTAACATGCAGCCATATTGGATAAAGAAGGAGTTGGAAAATGTTATTAAAAACATTATTAGCATTTTAACATCCCTCATTTTATCCTATGGATGGCTCGGACAGGTGACATCAGTCCTTCTCTTCATTCACACATACCACTGTTTCTACAAGTGTGTTTATGTGTGTGTGTGTCCTCAGACACAATCAGTGGTAGTTCATATACCCAAGATGCACTTCAGCTGCTTTGATGCAACTACAATAAAATACTGTTAGAGCGAGTTCAAGTTTCAACTGTAGTGCTGTGGTCAGTGGTGGAAACTTTTTGGACCTTTAGCCCTTTGAATCAGCGGGTTTGAAAGGTATGTTATCTTTACAAACATTGCCAAAATTACAGCATTTATCAGAGCCAAAAACTGCAAAAATAGAAAGAATCGTCAGATTTAGGATGGTCCTTGAACTACTCGTCTGTGGCGTGCTGCTCTGTTGGCAAAAATGATCCAGTCCAAAGCTAAATAATGGTGATATTTTTTTTATCAAAATCACTTTATTCTACACGTCATTTCAAAATTCTTAAAAAATAAACCATTTGCACTGTCCTGAGTCTCTCCGGTGTAACTGTAAATCCATTCGTGACTCATCTGTGACCAACAGTCACATGACAAAAAGTCTGGGTCTTCTTGGCTGAACTGCAGGCTGTGCTTTGACAGAGCAGACAGGAGACAAGTATGGCTGGTAACGGCATTATTCCTACTGCACAGAAGACATGCTTGAGGTCTGTTTACCTCCAGCCATGGTTGTGGTGTTTCCATATTGGTGCAGGTCTTTTTACTACAGTGAAAACGGAGCTAACAGTGAGTAAAAATTAAACACAAAACGCCCAGAAACTGCTACGGAGGGTTAATAATGTGCACCAAGTTGCCAGACCTCTGCTGGCTTTAACACTTTCTCAGCCATATGACGCCATTGTTGTGATATTAGGCCTATGGCCCACATAACCACCTGCTCTAGAAATGACTTTCTGGGTCGCGGGGGGATTACTGTGGGGCTAACTGCTGCAGCACACAGTCCTGGGGGCCACAAATGGGTCAAACTCTGCTTCACTTTCCAACCAGCACGAAACAATAAAACATGCAACACTGAAAGCTGATTCCTCTGAGAGCAGAAATCCACAAGGGGGCTCTTTGCAATTAATTAGTAGGAACAAGTCTAGACAAGGAGAAAGTAAACAGCAGCTAATTTCCTGTGTTTTGACTTGTCCCGACCTTGTTGTGTAGTTACACTTGCTGTTAAGCTTAGCGCAGTTAGCTGCATGTGGCTACCACAGTTATTGTTCCGCTGACAGGCCTCTCATAAACAGCTGGCTGCATGTTATTGTGGCTAAACCAGCCACCGACCGCTTCAAAAAGCCGTTTGAAGATATCTGCCTTTGAAACGGGTGGATTCCCCCGTTGTTTAAAGTCGCAGATTCCTTCTTTTAGCAGGGAGAGAAACTGCGTTCATTTCAGCTTTTTAAAGTCCTTTTATAATGTGTTTTGTCTGCAAAATTGGCCATGGAGATGCTGACACATTTGCTTAGAAAAACCTCAAGGGTGACGAAAAACAAATACAAATGAGGAAACATGAAAGCGACAGAAGATCACATGGTTTCTTTTTGTGGTATCAAGGAGAAACAGTGAATTTTTGCAGATTTAGTGTAGAATAATCTCTGATAAATCTGTGCTGTATGAGGTGTTAGCTGGTCTAAAAGCCTCTTCCTCATTGATTCGCTTATATCGCTAATTAAAAGGAGACAAGAGAGACAGTCCATATGATGAAACAATACGCTTTCTATGGTAATAAAGGCCCTCGCTGCATGGTCATAATGGCCCATTAAATTAGCCAGACTGCATTAGTGGGAGAAAAAGCGTCCAGCTGAGAGGGCCCTTTCATGTGAGGCACTGTAACGGTAAAACAAGTTCACAACAGATGTTTGGAGTTATTCCAAAAAGCTGCCACCTCCTGTTCAAAGATTTCACCAGGAAATGAAAGAGATAGAGTGGAGGGGAAGTAGAAGGAGGCATGAACTGACTGCTGAGGCACAACAAGCTGCGAGAGACTCAATCTGAGCCCTCCGAGGAAGAATCTCGAAGCTGCGGAAGCTATTTACCTGAGATCTCTAGCTGACGTTGTACGCACAGCTCGGCTGAACGCGGACAAACTTGCGATTCACCTCACAGTCTAGTCCTATGAATAATTGATCAGCGCGTCGAGCTGCTGGTCCATATGATGAGTCAGTAATGAGCTCCATAGCCTCATCCTGAGATTTGTTGAGTGGAGCATCACCACAGTTTCTCAGGAGGGGAGGGATATAGATTTTATTGATTTGAAAGTTAGGAGTCGCCGCAGAGACAGAATGTCGCTGGATGGAGCGGAAGGTGTGATATGTGACATATGTTTCAACCTGGACTCAAACCCACAAAACATATGGGATTCATTAGGCCACCGACCCGTAGAGGGAACATGCTGACGGTGCATTCAGGCTTACAGCTCTACACAACCTGAACGCAGCTTCGTGCTCGTGATTTGACAGGAAGATCGGTTTGAAGGTGTCCACAGGGAGCAATTTTGACAGCTGATCTTCTCTTCAAGTGTAATTTTTAAAATCTTGTCAAAGGTGGTTTTTTTCTTTGTCTGGTACAATAGTAGACTGAACAGGTTTGTGTTTGGGATTTTTTTTTAAAAAACAAAACAAAACAAAGAAATTGAAGAAATCACCTCAGAATCTGGGAAATTATACAAACAATGAGTCACTTCATTGACTGAATAACTATTAGATAATAATTGTTAATCATTTGAGAGGCTCAGTTACATGATGCCCTGATTGATAAATCTTTCACTTAATGATTAATCAATATAAAAAGCTATAAGCTGTACGAATTTGCTTTTTAACGCAATATTTCATTGGCCTCTCTGATGTCAATTGACCATTTAAAGACAAAACATGGGATTTTAAAGCATCTTTTTTCGGTTTTTGAGACATAAACTGAACATCTGTGAGGATCCTGCATGAGCTAAATAATTGATTCAAGCTAACTGACAAAAATAACACATTAATAATAAATGAAAATAATTCAATTACTCACGATACTTAAGCAACAGTGATGAACATTGTCAAGACTCCTCACACCCTCTCCATAAACTGTTTGAACTGCTGCCATCAGGCAAATGTTTCCGGAGCATTAAAGGAAGAACCTCCAGACTGATCAACAGCTTCAGTCCACACGCTGTCAGAATGCTGGACTGCTGATCCAGATATGCAAACATTTGTTTATTTAAATTGCTTTAAGTTTTTGGATCTTACATAAACGCTCTTTCATCTTGCCTGTACTACTGTGTGTGTACAGGCAAGATGGCAATAAACTTAATTTGACTTGATTTTGATTTGAATTTAAACAAAGGGTTGTCTGGCTGCTTCTTCTGAATGAGTCTTGACACTATCAAGCAACCGGAGCCTGATGCAGCCCCACACGTGTGCGAGTGCGCTGTATGACAAACACCCAGGGATCAAGGAAAGCTTGTTAACATCCCCTCTGATGTTCAGAGGTGGAACACCCCCCTCGTCGGGGTCTTGTTATCGCTCGGCGAAGGGCGCCTCGCACCGAAAGCAGCGTGTCCCCCAATAATAGGCTGTAAAAAACGACAACGGGTACCGACGGCCCTCAGAGACGCTCAACGATGCTCCCGAGGATACAAAGCAACCTTGAAGTGTGGCGTAAGAGCGTATGAGAGATGACACATCGGCGTGGAGAAGAAACACAAGCGCGCACATGCTTTCACAGACGCATTACACACCGATTATCCCAGACGACTGGCTGGCTTTGTGGGAGCGTGTCTGGGATGGATGTGTGTGTGTGTGTGTGTGTGTGTGTGTGTGTGTGTGTGTGTGCGCAGGTTTGGCCCGATGACAAGTTGATGCAACAACTCTCATTCTGCAATTACGATGAAGTGTCATTGAGCCTGAGAAGAGCCCAATGTATGATGGTGAGAATTAGAAATCACTGTTAATCTCTAAGATGGCATTAAAATAATCCCATAATAACGGCGTAATAACAAGATAATCATTACAGGCTGTAAACCTGTGTTCACACTTGATACAGCTGATTGTCATTTAAACCCAGGCTGGTGAAGGGAACAATATCTAGTAGGCTTATCTAAAGCAAATAAGCCCTTTCGTCACCTCTCTTTGAAGGGTTTAGCAGAGGAATGGCTCGAGAAAACTGTTAGAAATCACCGTCATGAATACCTCCACTGCACAACAACATTCATGGAGGCTTTGTGTCG